GCCAGCCCCACATACCGGAGGTGGTAGGTTCAAAGCCAGCCCTGGTCAAAAAATGAAAAAAAAAAAAAAAAAAAGAAGTTATGTGCTAACAGCATGTTATATACTTTCCACGTTTACTCTCACAATAACCAGCTATCACCATCCCTATTTCAGAGCAGGAAAGGAAGGTGAAAAGTCAAGTGCTTGCATCAGGAACAGGGTAGTAAACCACAAAAACTTGGGTTCCTTTCACTGAGTAGACAGAAATTCGTGGACATTAACAACTAGGTTTCCCCTAAGAAAGGAAAGCAGTCACAACAGAAGCAACTGCATGAATTTCAGCATTTTCCTTTCTTTTCTTTTTTGAGACAGAGTCTTACTCTGTTGCCCTGGGTACAGTGCCGTGGTGTCATAGCTCACAGCAACCTCAACTCCCAGACTCAAGAGATCCTCCTGCCTCAGCCTCCCAAGTAGCTAGGACTAGCTGGCGCCCCCCCATTACACCTGGCTATTCTTAGAAATGGTGTCCCACTATGGTTCATCCTTTAAGGGTACATGTGAATCTTTCTAAATGTAGAATATAAATGTCTTGACACAATAACTATGAAAATGACATGAAGGCTGTGTTGGCCAGTTTGATGAAAATATTTCAGATTGTATACAGAACCAGCACACCGTACCCCATGACTGCATTAATGTATACAGCTAGGATTTAATAAAAAATAAATACATAAAAACATTTTAAAAAAAAAGAAAGAAAGAAATGGGGTCCCACTGTGTGCTCAAGCTGGTTTCGAACTCCTGAGCTCAAGCAATCCACGCCCCTGGGCCTCCCAGAGTGCTGGATCACAGGCATGAGCCACCACACCTGGCCCAGTATTTTCAAAAAATATTTCCTAAGTCATCCTTTCTGAGAGCATCAAGATTGTTCAAAACAGACTCGGCGCCTATGGCTCAAGTGGCTAAGGCGCCAGCCACATAACACCTAAGGTGGCAGGTTCGAATCCAGCCCCGGCCCGCCAAAACAATAATGATGGCTGCAACCAAAAAAAAAAAAATAGCCAGGTGTTGTGGTGGGTGCCTGTGGTCCCAGCTGCCTGGGAGGCTGAGGCAGGAGACTCGCTTGAGCCCAGGAGTTGGAGGTTGCTGTGAGCTGTGATGCCACAGCACTCTACCCAGGGGGATAGTTTGAGGCTTTGTCTCAAAACAAAAAGATTGTTCAAAACAAAAACACCATCTAAGTTTGACTGGGCTCCATACTGGACTTATGCAAAGAAGACTAACAGTTTTCTAACAACCCCAAAAGCTGTTACTAATAAATTTTAAAATAAATGGCATTCTCTAATTTCCAGTTTGCCGGTTAAAACAAATGTAGAACTTACAAACCTGCAATGAGATTTTGCTGTTCTTGCAGGGTCACAATTTTGGCAATCTGAGCTCGGAGAGCAGCAAGTTCATTTTCAAGAGCACAGATCTTCTGCAGTGCTTCCTCATTCGCCAGTGTCTTCAGCTGAGGCTCTTGTTGAGACAAGTCTGGTAAGGAAATCTGCCTGCTTGGGGGCTTTTCAAACAAAGGAACAGGTGTCCTTGACCTGACCTCTGTCCTGTGAGGAAGAATGAGATTGGCTGTCACAGGATTTGTAACGGGTATGAAAAATTACCATTACCAAATCATGAGTATCAGAGCATAACACCCAAGTACCCCTTTTCAGGCTGATCTCACACAGGTGTTAAACAGCCAAGCACTCACCAACCGTATATAGCTCTCTCTGTATAGGTACCACCTCTGGGGTTCTTGTTGCCATCACCCTTCTTAATCTCAGTCTCTAATATGCACAAACCACCACCACCAGGACGCATTCACAGATTCCAGCAAAGATTTTGCTAATAAATGTTTTCTTTTTGGCTTTTTCTAAGAAGAAACTTTTAAATGTTCTTCAAACTGGTAAACTAATTGTTATATTTGACTCCAAAATCAAATCAATGATGCATTAACCCTTCCCAAGGGTTAATTAACCCCAAGCCAAGGGTCTTGGCTTCTGCATATCAATGCCAGTGTTTTTCACAGATGATAGAAAACATCAAATTACAAGACATATTGTGACAGGAGTAGGCCAAATACAGCATCAGAAAAGGAGAAAAAGAAATGATAATAATTGAATTCACATAGTAACTGTACAAACAGCTTTATTTTCATATGGGTATAAAATGGGGAGTTTTGATAATGTGGTGTGCCTGGGAGCTCGAACTGAAGGAAGTCTTTTGGGGTTGAGAATAAAATTCAGATTTCTTTTCAACGGTCAATTTAAATATTTGTCCATTTCCTCAGATTTTCTACAACTAAGTTTTCCCAGCCTGCATCCCACCTGTAAGCCCTTTTTAAACCTTAAATTCTTTCCTTTAAAAACATAGTCCTGGTTTCACTTTTTCCTATACCATTACCCTTCAAATACCTACAGCTCAGAAAATTTCTGCATCCTGTCTTTTGACCTTAAAGTCATTTAGAACTATAATACCAAAAGAATTCTTCATGCAAATACAGAAAGTAATTATTTTTACAGCTCTCAGCATGACACAATTCTATATTAAAAATAGAAAACCCAAAGTCCCTAGTGCTATAATAATCTCTTGGGAAAAGCTCCCGTGTTTTAAACTTGCTGAAAGAGACAGGGAACTAACACTAAATGTAACCTCTGCTGTCAGATGGGGCCAGGGGATTCCCTCTTCCTTAGCACATTTAACTTAAACTCCATGAGACAGACGCTATTATTTTACCATTGAGAACACAGCTCAGTATCACACAGCTAGAGTGTGGAAAAACCAATTTTGGAGTTGAGATTTATGAAGTCTTTCTTGCCAGCAATGCACTATCTTTCTATGAAAAAGACAGAAGCATTACCCAATTCAAATACTTAAAATTTGTTTCTGAGATACACTATAGGGAAGAAATCTGCCATTTCTGGGCATGGATTTTAGCCGCTTTAGTTTATCATTACTTTGGAACACTGCAATGGTGAACCATTTTAACCTCTTTGATTACTCAAAATTGCATGGGAAAAGAATGAAGGAATGTCTTGACTTGGAGTTTTAAAGACAAGAAAAGAGCCTATAATTGACTTCCTTCTTCTTGCTGCCATTTAACACTAACAAACTGTGCCCAACATTTCTGTACTCACAGATTTCTTTGAAAATCTGGTTTTTCCAGGTAACCAGTGATACACACCTCCCATAAGATTCTGCTTATAGGACTTAAGACGTCATAGCCCCAACTGCAGAATCTCTGTAAGTGGCCCTGCCAAAGGGCCACACTAAATGGGGAACTAAAGCCAAAATCTGAGTAACTGTCATCCAGGCTACGGATAAGACGCTAGCTGGTCAAGGCTCCCTCCAGTAAACAGTGTGCACTGGGACAGAGATTGGTGGTTGCTGAGTCCAACACATTAAAAAAGAGGAGAAAGAAAGTAGCCCTTATTTTCCAGGGCACTGATCTGTTCAGCTAAAGGATTACACTTCCCAGTTTCCCTTGCAGTTAGTTAGTTATGTGTGGACATCTGAGTTCAGGTAAACAGACTCAGCAGAATGCTAACGAGCCATTTAGGAGGACCACTTAAAGGCAGGTGACTCATCTTTAGTCTCAGGCCCCCTTTCCTCATGCGGGGAGTCTTGAGTAGAAGGCGATGTCTTAGAGTCACAGAGGACCAGAAGCTAATGGAGAGATGGAAGGCCATGCTATGGATGGCAGAGAGCCTGGCTGGGGCCCTGAAGACACTGCACAGCCACTATCAGCTCAAGCCCACCTTCCCTTGGACGTCTTTCAGTTAAGAGAGGAAGAAACAACCTTGAGAGAAAAATAAACTTCCATCTTGGTTAAGCCAACATTATTTTGGGCTTCTCTGTTATATTCAGTCAAACTTAACTATTAGGACATTCAATAACATTAAATTCTATTTTAGTGTTCTTTAATTAGATATTGGTACTTTATTTTTGCTTGAGAACTGTGATAATTCTTCAATGTTGCTTTTTGATTAGGGGGATCCTTGGGCTTATAGCTTTTGGTACTGCACCAAATTAAGGTTTTTTTTTTAATATCTAATTTGTTTACACTCCATTAAATTATCATAGAGAATGTTTGCAGATTGTTTTTTGCCTGTAACATTTTTAAACAAAAGGATTTGAATGATAAATGTTCTCACTCTTACCTAGCACCTATAATGCCAAGTTTAATTTATTTGGAATAATTGTGGGATCGGGAAATATCTGGCTTGCAAAGCTTCAATTACTATTCTCTTTCTTAGCCCTACAATCAGAAGAAACAGGTTATGTAATTTCTTTAAAAAGTACATAAAAAGTAAACTAAGGTAAAAAAATATATAACAGTACCAATATTCTGATTAAGTATATTAATATACTTAAAGGTCACATGTTATGAGTTATAGATTAGATGCATATGCTCTAAAATGAACTTAAAGAAAATAATTGGGGGGGAGGAGGGAAAGGGGTGGGTGGGTCGATAGAGGGTTTAATGGTGGGACCAACCTATGGAGCATACTGCAAATACAAGTTGGATCTCTCAGGTGTAGAACACAAATGTCTTAATGATGTAATTGGGTAAATGAGGTGAAGGCTATGTAGGATGTAAATACTCCAATTTGTACAAATAACACATGGAATCCCACAATGGCATAAATGTATTCATGTTTTATGTACAAATGACTTAATAAAAAAAAGAAAATAATTTTTTTTTTTGGAGGCAGAGTCTCGCTTTGTCACCTTCAGTAGAATGCTATGGTGTCATAGCTCACAGCAGCCTCAAACTCCTGGGCTCAAATGATCCTCTTGCCTCAGTCTGTCAAGTAGCTGGGACTACAGGCACCTGCCACAATGCCCAGCTATTTTTAAAAACTAAAAGTCTCGGCTCAGTGGGTAGGGTGCCAGCTCCATATACAGAGGGTGGCAGGTTTGAACCCGGCCCTGGCCAAACTGCAACCAAAAAATAGCCGGGCGTTGTGGTGGGTGCCTGTAGTCCCAGCTACTTGGGAGGCCGAGGCAAGAGAATCACCTAAGCCCAGGAGTTGAAGGTTGCTGTGAGCTGTGATGCCAGAGCACTCTACCAAGGGTGATAAAGTAAGACTCCAACTCTTTAAAAAAAAAAAAAAGAAAAGAAAAGAAAAGAAAGAAACAGGGTCTTGCTCTTGCCAGGCTGGTCTCAAACTCCTGAGCTCAGGCAATCCACTTGCCTTGGCTTCCTAAAGTGCTAGGATTACAGATATGAACCACAGCATTTGGCCCCAAAGAAAATAATTGTAATACATAATTAAAATAGAGAAAAAAAAGTCACTGCAGACCTTTGTTAATACAACTGACCAAATTCCAATTTCTACCTATCCTTTACAGGGTAGTTAAAATAACTCTAAATAATAGCTCTAAATGATAAGTAACAATAACAACAACAATAATTAAGTCACAAGTAGATAGAAATTAGTCAACTGAAGCTTTTGGGGGGTAGGGATACAAGCACAGAACAATCACATCTAATATCAATATAATATAAAATATTGCCATTTAATATTCTCCATACGGATTCTTAGTAATCTTTTAAAATAAAACTGGCTCGGCACCTGTGGCTCAAGTGGCTAAGGCGCCAGCCACATACACCCAAGGTGGCGGGTTCGAATCCAGCCTGGGCCCGCCAAACAACAATGATGGCTGCAACAAAAAAATAGCCGGGCGTTGTGGCGGGGGCCTGTGGTCCCAGCTACTTGGGAGGCGGAGGCAGAAGACTCGCTTGAGCCCAGGAGTTGGAGGTTGCTGTGAGCTGAGATGCCATGGCACTCTACCCAGGGGGACAGCTTGAGGCTCCTGTCTCAAAACAAAACAAAACAAAAAAAACAACTAAAAAATAATGATTTTATTTAAAAAGACTACTTCTGGCTGAGTGTAGCTGCTCATACCTGTAATCTTTTCACCTTGGAAGGCTGATGAAGGACTGCTTAAAGCCTAGGAGTTCAAGGTTACAGTGAACTATGCACAATTCTAGTCTTAAGAACAGATCTAGGTGAAATATAGGCTTCTCAAAAAAATGTAAAATTAAAGTAGCATAGCTGTTGAAAACCATAGTGAAGAAAGAGGGAAGAGTAGTACTAAGAGAGTGTGAGGAAGAAAGCGATAACAGTGTTCGCAGGACAGAGCACTGAGGCCACTGCCACGGGATCAGTGGCTACTGTAAGTGACAAGCAACGGAAGTAGAACTGAGAGAAAAGGGAAGACAGAACCTACAGATAAAGTCCCATCACTACCCGTCTTCCCATTCCCATGAAAGCGGAATTTTACTATGTTTGTCAAAACATACCTAAAACAATGAATGGATGGATTCATATCTGGGGATGGAAATGAGAGGATGATACTTTGCTTTCATATTATGTATAAGTGCAAAAGATTAACAGCCTATACACAGAAAATAAATTTTGGATGCCAGAACCTTTAGTACTCATAAAAACCTGTATTAGAATACTATTTATTTAAAAAACTAGTTTTTAGGGTGGCGCCTGCAGCTCAGTGAGTAGGGTGCTGGCCCCATATACCGAGGGTGGCAGGTTCAAACCCT